CTGCAGGGTGCTGCTGGGACCTAGAGCCAGCAGTTGCTGGGGCTGAGAGCACCCTCAGTTGTGGGACTCCCAGCCCTGTCTGGGTATGATGCACACCTAAGGCTTGGAAGCCTGTCAGCTGATGCGGCTCACTGACCTAGGGGAGACCCTACTACACCTGTAAATGAAAGCTCAGTTGCAACCAGGTCTAACATATAGCTCACTGAAGCTTTTAATGGTATGACAGGCACTTTGCATGTGTAGCTGGTCTGCAATAGTCTGAAATGATCTTGAAAAGATATATCAAGATGCCCAGATGTATAGCATCTGAAGCAAGCTTAGAAACCCAGTTTTCAAACAACATAAAGAAATAATTTATGTTTCCAGCTGCCTATGAAACAGCAGCTGCTAATATTATGTGTGGGGGCAAAACTGTTTTGAAGGTCCACATTTGGAGGACCTTTCAGAATACTATTTATGGTTTGATAAATAATGACAGAATTTTATTTTCTTGGCAGCAAATAAACCAAAGGTCTTAATTAATTAACTATTTTCCATAAACATAAGTTACATACCAAATGAAAGCACTAACTGCTGCAATTTGTATTGTTCAAATAGAGAATGAAGCATGATTCTGTACTAATCTAGTTAGGTGCAAAACGGTGCTTAAATAACATTCTTCAGACGTCTAAAGAATGAAGAGATACACGAACTGAATGCCGAGCCTAGGAGGTACTCCAGAGTTTTGGTATTGCCCATGGTACAAGAAGGAAAATTTTGAACCTGTTCAGTTCAAGAGAGGTGAGGTGACCCATTTCTAATTCACAAATAATCTGAAAAGAAGCAAGTTGAAACCCAAACTACCCTTGGCAGCCCAAAATATGAGGGGGAGGGGAAATTTAGAAAAAATCATTAAGCAGCCATGAGCTAAAAGGCAATTTTTATCTACTACCTCAAAATCCCTCAAAACAGGTTTTCGCAGTCATGGCAGAACAAGGTCTGTTAAAATGCTTATGCAATATAGGTCTGTAGATATAATGATTAAAGTGAAAAAATAAGAAGTGATTTAAAATGTAAAGGTCTGGTGCTTTCCACAGGAAGAGAACAGTGGCATACAAAGAAGGCAGTGAGGGGAAATGATGTTGAATCTGCCAAGCACATTAATTAAACAACATTGCTGACACCTGAATTTATGTAAAAACAAGGACAAGGAAGGATAGTTGGAGGATTCTCAAGATATTAGGCTTTCAATTAGAAAAAAAACTTACAGAGAAAAGGTAGAGCAGAACTTTGATCAATGATTACAACAGAAATTTTGTATTCAGATGCTAATTGGAATAAATTGTGAAAAACTGGGGATGTTTTCCTAGAAGTGAATTACTTATTGGATAAAGTTTATAAAGTCATTTTGTTCTGGGCCTTTTACAAGATGTGCCAAATATGATAACAAGCATTGAAGCTAGGTAACAGCTAGAATATAATAATTATAATATGATCAGAGCTGAGAAGCTGAAGCATTAAGCATAGCAACACAATGGGCTAGACATAAGCTTTTAGTTAACAAAATCTAATGCTGAGATGTAAATCACACAGGTTTTTAATGAACATATCAATGAAGAAAAGGAGTCTTTATTACATCATTAAATGGACTTTGGCTTTGAAAAAGACTGCTAACGTAGTAGATTCCAAGCCACAATAAGGCAAAATGTAATTTAAATTTAGGACATTCTTTTCTACTCATGCAAAATTCTTCCAAGACTAAATCTAAAGGAGATTATTGGAAGATTTTTGGAAGTTGAACTCAAATTGCAAATAGCATTGTCTTTTTGCTTTTAGGGACTATACAGCAACATAGGATGTCCCAGAGAAATTTTTAGTTAATATATGCTCAGCAAGTGGCAAACCCCTTCTATCCTATGTCCCATCCCCCCAAGACCCCCTCCCATGGCCCATGTCAACCTAACCTAGGGTAAAAATTCTTCCCTGACCTTACATTTGGAATCAGTGCAACCCTGAGCAGAGGAGCAAGACCTTTTCCCCCAAAATTGAAAATTTTCTAGGTGCTGGCAGGAGCACAAGTAGATCCCAGTCAAAATGCCCAGGCTAGGCTGTGGCCAATTTGCCCTATGTCAGATCCTATCCTGTCATATTATCTTTTCCATAAACTTATCAAGTAAAATCCTAAAGCAGTCTTCTTTGCCCCATGTAGGACATTCAGGAGATCATAGCAAAACATTCCTCTCCCGGTAGTTAGAATCCTTCTAATATCCAAACTAAATTTGTTCATAACCAGTTTGTAACCAATGGATCTTGTTCTAGTCTGGACTAATTACACAGATTTGCTGGTGTACAGAGGTTGGCTTGTTTTGCTGAAGAGTCATAACCCTGGTGAGTTTAATATAATAATTTTAAGCCTGGCCATAAACTTGCACATTATTTTCAGGCATGGACTGAAAAGGACATTTTCAGATTAGGGAGAGGACCCAAAACTGACATAACAGAATCCTATTTTTTATGGGATCAAACTACTTCATTAATAGGAAGCAAATGTTTGGCTCTATAGTCCATATCCATTCTTTTCAGTAATACCATCTTCATATAATTATTCTTTAAGAGCATATAGGAGACCTAGTCATGGATCAAGACACAATTTTATAGGTTCTGTAAAGGATCCAAAGGTCAAAACAGACAAGCAATGTACCAAAAACCACAAACTCCAAGTGCAGTGTTGTGAAAAAAAGCCCTGAATTCACAAAGAGGAGAGGAGGCCCACTGATTTTTATCTCTGCACACAATGGTACTGAATAGTTTAGCACCATTCTCGACAGTTCTGGGATCCACATTTTTAAAAGAACATTGAAAGCTTGGAGCAGGTGCAGAAAAGACATATACAAATGATTTGAGGGGTGTAGAGAACGGCTTTCTCTGAGAGATTTAAAGAACTTAATAATGTTTAATGTACCCAAAAAGGCTGCCATGAAAGTACTAAGGGATTCTTGAAGTTAGCAGAAAAAAGTTGTAAGAACAACTCAGAAGCTGAACCAAGACAAATTCAAATTAGTAAGGAGACATAGTGAAGGTGGATAGCATAAGAACAAACTACCAAAGGATGTGAAGGATCTGCCACCTAAAAATACCTCCAAAACAAAACCAGAAGCCTTTCAGGAAGCCTGTTTAGTTGGTCTCAATATGGATGAACTGGATGAAGAGAACAGGCTAGATGATCTAACAACTCCTTTGGCTTTCAACTCTATGAATGGATATGAGCATGGAAAAGCTGTGTTTGCTAAAGCCAGAAAGAAGTATGCTGGAAGATGAAAATGTCCTGGATGAGCGTTTTAGCTGTGGTGACAGGAAAGGTGTTATTTTAGAGATGTGCACCAGAAGGAAGGTGCAGACATAGTCCTCCTGGATATGGAGACTGAGAAATCCAATCAGAGATGACATGCAGGTTACAGACTTGAGTGAGAGGCTGGCAAGATAGTGGCAAAATTCCTAAAGTCTGAGAAAGCAATTTGGGGACTGTTGGGAGGGAAAAGATTAAAAGCTATCTATGTGTTAGGAGATGCCAAAGACATGGGCTGGGATTTTAGCTTGATCAGAGAAAGAGAGGGGTCTGGAGAAGAATGTCAGCTCTCTGAGTTACCTGCAGAGAGATGGCAGTAGAATATGTGCTTACTGCTGCTATTACTCAGCGATAATGTGCAGTGGGGAAAAAAAGAGGGGACGATGGACAGAATCCAGAGCAACCTTCACAGAAAGCTAGTGAGGAATGAGAAGGATCCTTTTAGGAATAGCAGCAATTTAAACAAGGAAATTTTATCTTAGGAAAAGATCAAAACTCCCCTCTAAACAAGAAATGCAGAAAGAGAAGGTAAGCTAATACAGAATATGCAGGACACTGAAGAGAAAAAGTGTTCCTTTTTCCTCTTTGTCCTTAGGTATGATATCCAAGAATCATTAATGGCTGAGCTCCAGTTTTTCCTACATGATTCACTGTGAAAAGATGAGGCAGGAAAACTAGATTGGTATTGCACAGCTTTTTCAGTCTATGAGCCAAACGTATTTCAGAAAGGTCACAAAATTATAGTCAATACTTTGAGACAGAGTTTCTGTCCTGTTCTCTGACGTTCAACATAGCTCGGACACCCCATAACCAGACAAATACAAGGACAGTAGTTTGGGGTTTTTTAATGACCCAATTCTTAGCAGAACATTGTAGAATTTCTAGCATGTCTGAGAACTAGCATATGGCAAACTAAACAATAATTTAAATGGAAGCTGGCAGAAATAGCATAGGTGGGCAAGGTTTTTTGGGTAGATGTGATGGCTTTTATTAGACCAACTAGATAGTTGGAAAAACATTATTTGCAAACCTTTGGGCACAAATACCCTTCATCAAAACATATCTGCAACCATCTTGACTTCTAATGTACGTCATTATGGGCAAAAAGAATTGGACACTGACTAATTTGGGACCTCTACTTTCCAAATTCACAAGACTCAATTTTTTATTCAGCTTTACAATTCATTTATCTTACTCACACAAATATCTTCCTATCAATGACTTCCATTTCACATCTCCAAAGTTCTTTATTTCTAAAGGAGAATTCTCTTTTGATGTTTGCCAAACCAAATTAGAATCATTATAATAAAATTTCACTTTTCTTCCACAATGAGTATTTCCAGTTATGTAATACACGTTTCCCTCGCCAACCACTGGGGTTAGGTTCCTCAAACTTCCCATGGTTGGCAAAACTGTGGTTGGCAAGACAAAAGGCTGATGGGGAAAATGGCAGGTGGTTGGCTGATGTGCAGCCACGGAAAACCGTGGTTACTCAAAAACGTATACCATAGTAGCCAAAATGGTATACAGAATGTTAAGTGTGGATACTCAAAACCATGGTTAGCAAAACCATGGTTGGCGAGGGAAACCTGTAGCCAGTTATGGGTATTACAGTATGAGAAGAGTTCAACCCAAGTTCCACTAAAAACAACTGAACTTTCAGGCCTTCACTTACCTGATCTATAGCGTTCATCCCGTGACCCTGAGGACCTGCGGCGGTGATATCGTGAGGAAGAGGAAGGGGTAACGGGAGTTCGACGTTCTTGTGGCAATGCCTGATCCACCCCTGCAGTCACAAGAAACAAACAGTGCTGAAAAGTTTACAGAATCTTATTGATTATTAATCAGTTTTTGGCTCTCAAAACCAAAAATAGATGTTTGATTGCTAATCTATTTAACTGCTATTGGCAAAAATATTATTAGTATTTGGTCAGATGTTCAGGTCTACTTGTGTCTATCTAAGATAGTCAATACTGTAAAGAACATACATTCAGCAAGACACTGTAAAAAGAAAAGGAAATGATTTGAAAATCTGCCCTCCTCTTATGCAGAAGTAGCCCTTCTAGAAGCCATATTAAGACAGCATTTTAAAATGTGAGGGGTAATGGTGAATAGGGAGCCATGGGAATAAAACCTGAAGCTGTCCTGGCAATTGGTTACAAAGAGATCCCATATAAAGATATAGCACTGTGTCCTATTAACTTCTTCTGCACAACCTAATGCACAACCTGTTATCAGTAGGTGACAGAACAACAACATGCAGAAATCAGATACCATAGCACTAGGAACAACGTAAACCCTCATATATAGCTTTAGCTACAGAATACTAGAAAGTAAAAAAAATGACTATGTAACAGCAATCTGAAAGAGTAAGCTGTCTTGCTGAAAATCTTTCTGTCATAAAATCTTTCCGTCATAAACAATGGGCCCACAGCAATACAGCTGTGCCATCCAAGTATTTCTGGCCAAAGCTTAAGGTTTAAATATCTTGTTCTCCCCAGTGTTACAGATTCTCTGCAAAAAGAAGTGTGTTCCTGAAGGGTGCCTCAAAGGCACTGGTAGCACCACAGCAGCCCTGTATTGAAACGGCTTCTGAAAGCGGCCTTTCTTTTCCAGTTCCTTGTTCCACCATTCACACTTGCACAACAAATTTGTGCTTCTCTGACAACGCAAGCTGCATCACTGGACTGGGCTCAGGAAGGATAAAGTGTGGTCCTAAAGAGGTGCTTTCTAGATGTGAAAATTTGCAAATTACTTGGTGCCTAAAAAGGAAAAAAACTACCAATCACATACGTAAACAGTACAAAGATAGGGATTAGATATCCAAATAATGAAATCTTGAAACTGAAAAAAGGGTTTAAGTCAATAGAAAAAAAGACTAAAAGAATCAAATGAATGACTACAAATTAATATGTTAGATTGGGGCACAGCGGGGCAGTTACTGGATGGCAAACTACTGTCAATAATACTTTGTTCCAAAAAGTGTGTTATGCACTTATACAAGAGCCCCACATAAACAAGCAAGATAAATATCACCTTCATCTCTGCTCTGGCTTAGTTTAGAGTGTGAGGCCACATGTTTCCAAAGAGACAAACAGAATTAGAGTGACAAATTAATGTGTTTACCTTCCTAGTATTGGCAGCCTGGGAAAACATGAAAAGGAATGAAACTGCCCACAAATCAGGATCTTGTTTTGTGGAGCCTTACAACTAAAAATTACAGGTCTCAGTGAATGAGGTTTACCAAGGTTATATTCTATCACACATCCATGGTTTTTATTTGTAGTGATTTTTTACCACCTAAAGCTGGGATTGTCAAACTTGTTTGCAACCCCCTGCCAGGCTGATCCAAACTGCAGGGCTCTTCGCAGGTTGGATCCAGACCCAACTCCAGCAATGGAGCCAGTGGCAGCAGTGTTAAACACTGAGGCTAGGGACAGAAGTTAAACATAAACCAGTTTAGGTGAACGGAAACTGGTTTAAACCTGTACCAGAACAGAAGTTCAGTGGGCAGAAACCAGTTTCAAAATGGCTGAAACTGGGTTGAGATAAACCTAGTTGATTGTAGTATTAGATTTAACTGATTGAACTCAAACCAGTTTATGAAACTTCTGTCCTAGACCCTTTCCTGGTTTACGTTAAACCAGAGTCCCCCAGCATCCCAGCAGGCTCTGCAAGCACTGGGCTGGGCTGTCTACTCCACTGGAGTAGGGAGCTGGAGTGGAGGGGGGGCAGAGCAGGGGCGAGGTTTATCCCCCTTCCCCTGTCCCACCAGCACAGACTTGCCAGGCATTTCTCCACTCACTGCTCCAGCGGATGGGGTGCGGCCAGCCCCAGCAGTAGCCTGAAGTGAAGTGAAGTGAACTGACCAGGGAGGGGATTTAATTTAGCCCCACCTGGCTTCCAGGATTGCAAACCTCTTCCCAGCAGGGGGCTCCACTGTGGGTGGGAGCAGGGTAGGCAGAGCTGCTGCAGACTGCGCAGGTGCTAGGGGAAGCTTGGGGGGCTACGGTCCCCTCCAAGCCCCAGTGCCACTGCTCTCCCCTCACAGTCTGCAGCAGCTCCGACTGCCCCACTCCCAACCACAGCACAGTCCCCTGCCGGGAAGAGGTTTGTGCTCCCCAGGAAACCATGAGAAGGGCTTCTGCCCCCATCTCCGGTTGCTCCCACCTCACTGCTCCAGCAGCAGGGGCCAGGGTGCAGCCAGAGGCTGGCCAACATGGGTCTCTCTGGCAAGGGGGCAGGGAGAGGGGTTATTTCTCCACCCCCGGTCTGGCATCTGGTGGAGGAGACAGGGATGGGGCTTATTCTGCTGCTTGCCTGGTGGTGACAGTGGCAGCCAGGGCTGGCAGACCCCTGCTGCAGTCCCCTGGGAGCACAGGGGGTGGAGGGAAGAATAACCCCACCTCCCTCCCTACTCTGTCTGCTTCAGGGGAGGGGGCCATGCCAGCTGGTGTCTGGCTGCACCCCTGCCCCTGCAGCAGAGACGGAGTAGCGCCAGGTGGACCCCGGCTCGGGTCCGTGGGACAGGGATGGGGGAATTATACCCCCTCCCTGGCTAGTTTACTCCAGGCTACTGCTGGGGCTGGCCATGCACCCCCCGCCCTCTTCCTCCCCCAGCACAGCTTCCCTGCAGCTGAGGGTGCGCTCCAGCACCGCCCGGCTCCTGGCCTGAGCGACTGCAGGCATGTCCAGAGGGAATGTCTGTTCACTTGCATATTTGTTCAGTTTCTAGGCAGGTTAGACTAACCTTCAAAGATTGAATCAATTCAGGCTCGGGCTTTTTGAATGTCTGTCCCTAGCCTGAGGTGTTTAAGTTGATGTGTAAGGTCTTCCCTGACTTTGTGGAGAAATGGTTGGATGCCAAGAAACACGTTTAGTATAAAATCTCATGTATGGGCAAGAAGAAAAGGGTGCTAGTACTAAGAAAGACTTTTATCCAGAATGTTGTTAGTCAATGAAATTAAATCATTGTATTAACTAGACTGACTTCTTTCAACTGGTTCAGTTTTCACTATATAATTCATATCGCATTCACAGTACTATTCACACCATATCATACATCATTTCATTATCTTTCTAGTTATTAGAGTCCTCCAGGACAGGTCAACTGAATTACTAACATAAAGAAGCAACCACAAAACCATCCCCAAAACAAGCCCCCCTCCCCCTTGCAAAAAACTCTGTTTTTATGGGGGGGGGGGAGGGGTGTTTCCCTTAGCAGTTGATTTTTAAGATCAACTGTCACAAAATCAACCATCAAAACTTATTTGGTAGCCTTTCAGTCAGTGGACTTATGCCTTAATATCACCTAGCAAATTTGTGATATTGAGGGGGGAATAAGTCAGGGTTTGCTATAAAAAGGGTAACAGGATAATTATAAAGACTCTTTATTACCTTTTTTCAACTGCAAAAGAAAAATTAGGAGGCTTCAGCAACAGCAGAGAAAACATAAATTCACTACCAGAAAACTTTTCAATGGGGAAAGTTACTAAAAGTAAAAAGTGAAACAAACTCCTACAGGTGCTAGTAGATCTCCAAAGATGAAGGCATTTAAAGTTTGTCCACATTATTAGGAATTTTTCAGGAAAAAAATAAATCTTACCTTAGAAGTTTCACTAGAAATCCCCTGCTACACAAGTGACTCTAGGCATTTCCTAATTAAAACTGAAACAACCTGCATCTGTTCATTTCTGACTGACTGAACAGAACCCTGTTCAGAATCATATATCACATTTTTCCACTCCCAACCTGATTAAGGAGTTTTTCGGGAAGGATGGCAGGTAGACTTCAGAGCAATGCCACCAGACATAAGGGAAACTCCTCCCTTTTCCTTTTTGAGCACCAGTTACTTAATTCCTTTGTGATTTCAGCTTTTCTGCTGCTCTAAGAGAGTAGAGCCTTCTTGTAGAACACTTTGAAGATCCTGAGAGTTACCTAGGGACAGGTGTCACTGTGGTGTCCCATGGCAGGAGGTGAAACAGAAGGTGTGAAAGTAGTCAGTCACTAATTAAAGCTTCAGTCAATAATCTTAAATGTTACTTGAATTAACAATAGACACCACATTTTCAGATGGAGTTACTTTAAACAGCATTTCTCTTTCAACTTGTGTACTTCAATCATTAATAAAACGTCTTTTTGGCTTTCAGCAAAAAGAGAGTAATATGAAGGTTTTCCTTACAGATATTTACAGGAAGGCAGGTCCGCTCCAGTACAGGTGCAGACAGAAGTGACAAATTTCCCCTGATCTGGTCCCTGAAAGCACTCTACAGCTGTGACCAAACAAGAGTGCTTTAAAAGGGCCTGATCCTGCAAAAATCTGAACCCTCATTGCAACTCTGAACCCTCATTGCAACTCAGCCCTGCTCCAGCACGGTCTTCAGAATAGGAGGGGGGAAATGGGAAAGGAGTTCAGTCTGGGATTTGTTCAGCCAGCACTGGAAGGTGAAGTGTGTGGATTGGAGCCCCCCCCACCTTGGGGTGGGGATAGGGTTCCAAAACACCCACCCCACACTCCTGCACCGGCTGGGGAACTCCCAGAACAAGCTCCCTCTGCTTTCTTTCCCCCCTCCCATTCTGAAAACAGCACTATGGCTGTGGGGAAGGAGGGATGTTGCTAGGGGAAGACTGGTTGCAGGCTCCCAGCCAGCAGCTGTATTCCCCAATTCCCAAGATGCAACAATGAACTTGTGCTGGGTCTGGAGGATCACTGTAACTCAGGGGCGGGCAATTATTTTGGGCAGAGGGCTGCTTACTGAGTTTTGGCAAGCCATCGAGGGCTGCGTG